TGTATGAAGAGAGAAAAAAAGGACCAAGAATTATTTAGAAACTACAGTATTGGAAAACTACAGTATCAAAGAGGATGTAATAAGGTTTCATAAGGATGAGCAATGTAATATTTCTGGTCTTCCAAGTGTCCACAGGCTACGGTTATCCCGTTTACCATTAGAATGGGTAATTTCAATTCTTTAAGTTTAAACTGCACGAGACTATTTTTACCATTAAAGCTTTCACTACTATTCATGAATTGATTTTAACATGATTCTATATAATTAGTAATATAACAGTTTCCCATGCTTAATGGTTACATTACACGAACAGCACATTAAAACGACACGATAAATGTTAGCTAAGCATATGTGAAGCATACCAATGCTGTTACAGAAACGTTCATTTCAATAATCACCTTGGCCAACATAGGGCTAAGGTACCTATAAGTTTTTACTGCAACTGATATATCGATAAATTTGTTGAAGGCTATAATTGCTTATTCCAAAGGTCAGGTTTGTCATGAACATAGAATATAGATTTATCAAAATGTTACAGTCAAAATTTCCAACCGGTCAGAAGTTTTTAAAGACAAAAAATCTTTAAACCTACTCGTCCGGCTAAGAATCTGAAAATAACAATGATTTGTATAGATATTGAAATATATAAATAAGCCTTAATACAACTAGTTAGTCAATCTTAACCTAACTCGTAAATACAAGTAAATGATTTATAAGTATGGATTCTAAAATCTGATGGGAACATGAAATAGTAAATATAATGAATCTTAAACAAATTTTTGGACCAAAATTTACTATACATATATAAGTACTCAAAAGACATTTCACCAAATTCGACCATAAAATCTAGAAAATAAATAATTAGCAACGACTAGTAGGTCCCAACCCAAGAAAAATGGATGCTTTTTTTACAATGAAAAGATATGCTAAGATTTTCGACTAGCACCGTAGTCGGTACGCGATTGAACAAAATATAATATTTATATTATGAATCACCATGTTAATTCGCAGTATATGCATTTTGTCTCTTTGGGCTTTTGCCTGGCTAACGTCCCATAGATAAGACCCTGAGTAGGATCGTACACAGGAAAGGAATTTTATTTTATCTTTAACGTATACAGAATAGCCAGCAAAGGCTTGTAGAATTATAATTGGGATTTACTTATTCGAATATATTGCTCAGTCATGTTTTCTATTGTGTTAAAATATCTGTGTTAAGACTTGTGTATTAACAATCATTTATAATTGGATACATGTAAAGATACAATGAAAATCCGTGTACAATAAAAAAAAGTATTCTCGTCCGCATGTTGAAATCATTAGTATATTTTTTAGTCATGTATTGTGATACTTTTGTTAAATTTAGATGTTTCTTTTAGAAAATGTTGTTCATTAATTAGAAACGAGATGGCTATCATTTCATTATATATATATATATATATATATATATATATATATATATATATATATATATATATATATATATTTATCTATATATCAATTCAATCTTAATTAAGGTTTACAAAAAAAAAAAACTAGAATTATTAAACAAAGCGAATGAGTATATACATAAAATGTTTCTATAGATTCTTACATTAGTTTGTTTCTACGTTTCGTTTTTGTTTTTTTTTTTTAATGTGAAGACAAATTGTGTTTATTATTAAAAGCTTACAAAATACATAGTTTTTTATTACAATTAATTAAATATATAATTTACTTATGACATTTACCAATATTTTATTTATACATTTTTGTTTGTCATTCCTAATTTCGCCGTGATGAGGTTTATAAATTGTCAAAAAATCTTGTGTCAAGACCTATACACCGCATCGCAGCTGTATTTGAAAAATAAAGGAAAAAAAATACCAGATTACATTGCAAGTTGCATTTAAAACAAATTGCTGATAACAATATGTAAAACAAGCACTTACAAGTGTATAGCAACGTACGTTATGGTTGCGGAGTCTATAAAAGTTTTATTTTAAAAACCAGAATGTCGAATACCATATGATTGTCGGGCCAGCCTCGAGCAAGTAGGTAATGGGTAGTTATCTTTTATGGTAAAAGGGTGGCCGAGTATCTTCACACAGGGGTATTACCATTATCCATACAGAGAAAGACTTTTTATATTGCTTTTTGATTTTTTTCTTTTTTTATACACCATAAAATGCCTAAAATACAATGTTAGCTACCTGAGAAGAAAATGGGCCATATTTTTGCCCAATAGCCGATAAAGTAAGTAAGGTAATGTTTTATATCATATGAAATGATGATAAATATAATATATTTTTTATTTTTATTTTATATTAAGTTTTTTACGTGATGAAATATCGTTATACTCCTTTGGGTAGCTTCTCTGTTTGTCCATATTTTTGTTTTTTTTATAAGACAGGGAGCAAACAAGCACACGGCATGAACACCCGCTGCGCCGGAGGAATTACAGGTGTGCTGCCGATCTTTTAATAAAAGGAATATGCTCTTTTCTTGAAGGCTACAATGTCGTATCGGTTTTGAAATAGGGTTATTGAATGTAGATTCCAGAGCGTTGTTATGCGAGGAAAAAAGTGCGTTGTAAAACACGCGTTGGAAAACTGACATTCATCCAGAAGATTAGGATGGAACTTTAGTTTATGGCAGTTTGTAAAATAGTGAAATTTAATATATGGTATTAAACCGAACAGTTCATCAGAGCACTCCCTATGATATATTCGATAAAAAATGCATAGAGATGCAACGCCTCTATGCATTTTCAGTGGGTCGATTCATACATTAGAAAGTTTATGCAATAACTTTTTTTTTATACAACTTAGAATGACAAACGAGCTGACGGCCCACCTGATGGAAAGTGGTAACCATCGCCTATAGACATGAGCAGTATTATGGACATAACAGAGTATACTGTTTCGCCCATGATACCCCCCATGCGTTGCCACTCCTCAGACTCGGGTGTTATTCCTCTGTACCCAGTAAATTCACGCCATATCCCACCCTTCAAACCGAAACACAGCCATGCAAACACAACTGCTTCACGGTTGAAACACGAATGGGACAGAGGTACCCAAGCAATCGACTTTTGTACAAAGTCTCCCTCTGGTCGTAATAATATTAATTCTGAGTCATAAATTATTGTTTTTAGAGTCAATAGGATTTACATTTAACGAAATACTGTTCGTTTCTTATATAATCTAGATATTAGGTATATTTTGAATGTTTCTTCATAATACATTCTTTATATGGTTGCCACAGAACAATACCGTAGTTTCTTGTTATATATCATTATATATACTTTATATTATTATTATTTTTTCTTCATACTATTTACTAATTTCATCTTATACATGGACGTCAATTCTAGACTAGTTTCACTATTGAAATACGAAATGCTAACAATGGTCATTTTTTAAACATTATTCTAGATGATTCAGTCAAAAGTTTGCACAGTCTTTACATTTTATCAGATAAACGTCACGAGAAAACTCCATTAGACGTAGCACAGTAGAGGTCATCTTTTCCTCTAAAACTAATAGGACTTTTTTCCTAATCTACAAAACTATCTTGTACACGTGACGAAGCATAGTAATGAGGGTTATCATTAACCTATTTTTCGGAGGCGGCAGTTTTTATCTGATCCAACTCGTCTCCCATCACAATTGCTACCGCTTGTACCGTTGTAGTGTCGTAAAGAAATAAACATAATAGTAACTCTGCTTTCTAGTGGAGCGAGATAACTTCGTGACCGAATTCTACACCATCATTGATGGGTCCGTGTTGGTAATAAATCTCTACGGTATCGAGGTATGCATCTCTTACTGCTGGTTGTAAATTAAAATGAATAACATTAATACTGGTAAAGTCTTATTCAACTATTGAATTTATAATTGTATGTATATATGATAATTTAAAATGTATATAATATTCTTAAAGGAATTTAGACAAGTTATAATGGAAAAGAGTTGATATATATGTATAATTAATAACCAAGCAACAATCTAGGTGTCAAGGAATGCGTGAAATGTAGCTTATTAGCTTTTTTTTATACAACTTAGAATGGCAAACAAGCTGAAGGCCCACCTGATGGAAAGTGCTTATTAGCAACTTTATTTTACTTACTAGCTTACATGGTAGAATCTTTAAATAATGTTTGGATTGATCCTGTTTATGGGTTGTATAGTGGTCTCCCATTTTCTTGCATTTAATATGCCATAATATATATTTATTGTAAATATATATATATATATATATATATATATATATATATATATATATATATATATATATTTATGAAACTAAAATACTCCAAGTAATAGAGATGAATTGAAAAGAAATGGAGAAATTTTTTAGCCGATATTTTTGTGAAATTATCTAATTAAACCGTGATTTGATTTTTTAGTTCAATAAATACTGTATCATACTAATCGAAGCTTTATAGCTTGTAAAATTTTAATACGTTTCAATTAAAAAAAGGAAAAATTTAAGAAAAATTAAAAAGAAAACATTTTTAAAACGTTCATAAATAGAAGAGGACAGTAAGCGCTAATCTAAAGCCCTAAATATACTTTTAGTATAATTTTCATTATAAATGTACCTACATGTTATAATTACAGTTACAGAAATAAGGATCGTTGAAAAATACTGTTCATGATAGTTGTTGATAAGGTTGAAGTTATAAATAAAGCTGTTGTACTAAATATCTAAACACGGAACAAAAGCACAACAAATAAAATTGATCTCCAACAACGATTAAATACCGTTACAACTTATATACACGCAATGTTACTGAAAGCTCATTAAAATAATTCTATTGTATTACACCTTAATAATAGTTAACTTATCGATGAAAAGGATACACGAAGGATTACGAATCCACTAATAAATGCAAAAACATTGTTTATTACAAGAATAAATTATTTTGACAGAGAAAAAAAGAAAAACAATATCGGTTATCGGATCTATTTTATTAAAACTAAATCATTAGCTATTTAGAGAAAAAAAAAACTTACAATTATAATTCACAATCCAAATAACATAAGTCGCACTGGAAATACCTAGTAAATTAAATTAAATCTTCACATCCGTCAAAGTTAATTAATCCATTAATAATATGCATAGAGTCATAATCACATCGCATGGGTATGAAATTGAAAACAAGTTTCACTTCACGTATGCAAATGATAATAACGAAAACAGTTTCCACAATTCGTCGTTCGCGTGTACACCGACGAACTCGGGCCAACACGTCCGGCGCCCGCCGCGGTCGCGATTTGACTGATTTAACCGCTCTAACGGCGGGGAACAGGGAACCCAGCGGGAAGGGACTCCGGGGTGAAGGGGGACACTCTCCAACCGAGAAGATAACTTTTGATCTTTTTGGAGCTATAGATGATTTTAATGATGCAGTCACATCTGGAGGTTGGATAGAAAAACTACACGACTCTGCTCTAAGTGTTAATGCATGTCAAGAGCTTAGTAAAAAAGATGTGTTAGAAAAAGTTATGAAGTTAAGGTTGCGGGTGACATTTTTAAAAATAACTCCGAATGAGGAGATTAAATTGAAACAGGCTGGTGACCTAAGTTGTAATAAAACTTCAGCAAAATACGACTTCAATCTTAGAAGATTTCAGATAAGATTTTGCGCGAGACGGTTTGTATTTGAAAGAAATGTAATATGCTTCCCTCCAAGCGGAATATTGCGTTTTATATTCTTCCGTATTATTTTCACATCAACCAAGAGATCTGAGGGCAGACAATATTGCGCAAAGGCGGTTTTTGTCCCTGCCCCGCACATGTCAGGGGCTGCACAAAGAGCCGTAGAACGGAGCAGGTACAAAAGAATCCAACCCCGGTTCAAGTTACAACGGACTTCTCATAGATTAATGACGGGAACATTGTGGAGTTAAGAACCCAAAAATTTACAACTGCATTGTGTTCTGCGTTTAACAAAAGAGCACAATAGATAGCATCGGCTTCTGTTATTACCTTATCGTTTATCGGAGCTCCGTGATTTCTCTCACTTTTCGAGTAATACGAGAGCTATTATCAATGGTAGATTTATTTTAACAAGAAACACGGATCTATCCCATACAGATGTTTGGGAGGTGCACCGTTAACAAGCATACAATAATCAGATTGTTATTCTCAAGTATGAGCATTTAAATGCAATTTCCGCACTTTCGTACATTAAAAAAAAAACTGACATTGAAAAGTATTAAGTACCTATTTTCGTATACAGAGTTCACCAACTTTACTTTACTTTAGATTTACTTGGGAGATAAAAAATATAATTATTCTAATTTTTATATTTATTATTACCTCATTTTTTAATTATAAATGTGTGATAAAATTATTTGTTTTGTGTAGTATATTTATAAAAAATAGAACACACAATATTTCACAAGTGTGTCGCAGATAAAATAATAAGAAATACTAACCAACAAGTCTGTATTGACAACAATGATTTATCTGGACTTCTTCGAGCGAAGTAAAGACAAGAAGTATGGACCGATAACAAGAACAGTGCAAGTTGCAGTCAATATAAATCATCGCAAACAGTAGTTCGGTAAAATAAAAGCCCTTCACACGAGCAAGTCACCGACTGTAATGAGTAATGGACGAGCGTTCATTACTCAGCGCGACGCCCTGGAGTTTACCCGTCATCTGTCGTCAGCGTCGCTTTGCAGTCTCCTCTATAATGGCTCTATGGTATTCTTGTCTTGTCATGTGCAGATGAGTGTGTAACCGAATCAAAGTGTAAAGTTTGTTAAGTTTGTGACTTTATTTGTTGGAAGCTATTCTACTTCCTACTCATGTTATTGTAAATGTAAACGTTTGTAAAGATGTTTAAATATTTATATATTTATTACTATATTACACTGAATCAGTTCACTTTTAATTTGCCATCTATAAGAAATACTTTATTGTTATTAAAAAGCTCAAAGTTAATTATTTTTATTGACTATATTCGATAATGTTCAACCTATCGTTTTGTAATTTTTATACCCAATACACTCGCCACTGCACACCATATGTGTCCACAAGTTGATTGCAATCTCTTATGGCATCCGAAAATTTATTGACGCTATTTAAGATTTTTACTTCGGTGCTACTGATAAGCGAAATACGTCTTGCAAATTGTCTCATTTTTTAAATTCCCCGCCGTTTACAGTCCAGAATTATTTGGAGATAATTAAAAGTCCTGATTGCTTGCCTTGTTTCTTCACCGCTTCGCCCTGTTTGCTAATTAAGCCATACAAATTGTTGGCGGGGGTCTAACCGCTATTCTGATTGCCTGTGACCGCTCCACTCTGAAGAATCTATTGTTATTCCGAAAGCGTCCAGGCTTTGTTCATCCATCCGTCCTATACTCGATGCACTTCTTATTCTTATCGGGATTTTCTTCACGCTCACGTTTCAATGCACTGGCGTATACCAGTTCCTTTATGGCCAATTTACGCTAGACTCCGATAGAATTGTGGAGAAACGAGGGCCGCTACGGAAAAGTCTATTTTGTTTTACGACATAGCTGAGTTCCTTTATCGAATAGCGTGATGTTTTAGAGTTGTATAGTAGGGGTCGTGACTTGAGATAGTGTTCGATAGTGCATACAATGCACCCGAACTGGAACCGATTACGTCAAATTTGATAAATTTACAAAGAAAATGTCAACGATAAAATATGGGGTCACAGAGCTTTCGGTATTTTGTGTATACGTAACCTATATAGGCATAATATCAGCGTTTTGGTTGAATACCCGAATAAAGAATTTCCAACACAATTTACATAAAACGAGCTGCTAAAGCTAAAATATATTCGAAAACAAGCAACCGCGTCAGACATTCACTGTAATAACATTGCAAGTTTGAAATTATATCGCGAGCGCTTGTTGACTCCGCAGTACCCTGAGGCGAGTCCATCGCTCATAGCTCAACTCAAACATCGAGAAAATTAATCCCAGTTTACTTCGTTAACTACCATCAGTTTGTTTATTTTTCAATCGTTCTGACTTGTTCATTTGTATTTAGAGATCATATTTCGTATATAATGTCAACGTAAGAGCATTTAATATTCTACGTGACATTCCAAATCCATTAAATCACGTTCGAAAGCCTAATAAAGTTTAATTTTTTTGTAAACTATTGCGTATTCATCTGGGTCTATTGTTGAAGAGAAATCGTTTGTAACGGTTATGCTTTTCCGTGTTTTCATATATTTTTTTTCTATATCATACTGACTACTTACTATGTTTAGTAACAGTAAATTTCATTTTAAAACCAAACTTCCATTGGAAAACAGTCACATATCTAATAAATAGATAGAGAGTAAGTAATTCATTTTACTTTCACATAATACTAGGGCTTCTAAGTCGATAAAATGGATATGAAATAACCACTAGCGTTTCGATACATCATCTCTTTACTTACAAACAAATAGAGACTGAATCTCAACTAAATAAGAGGTTTTCCATCGGGATCGTAGAAAAGGAATAAAAGTGGCACGGCATTCGCTTGCTGCGGTTTTATTGTACCTAATAAAATCTCCCGAGCTTCGATACAGCGGCTGCTTGAATTATAAACGCGTTCATACTGGCTACCGTAACAGTGGCGGCACGTTGCTGTAGCAATTTGTCTTGTGGATCACGAAATTTGAAATCTTGGCGTCTTGTTAATTGCTTATTTAATTCATTGGCTAACAATACAAAGTCTAGGAGTCCTACGGTCGGGCATATTTCGTCGGGAGTTGTTTGAATTATAAACACGCTCGCGGGCTCGAGGCGGGATGGCGGTTCGTGGGCTACCGGTGCGGTCGGCTCACGACGCCATTTGTCTAGCGCCTACGGCCCCGGTTCGTGCAATTTGCATCTTTAGACCACGCCTAGCGGCTTCCACACTACATTATTCCTAACCATTGTTCTTTCCAGTAAAACAGCTATCTCTGCGATCAACTATAGATTTTTAATGCTCTCGCTGTTTTCTGTTTGGTCTCTCATTTCTATTTCGTATTCGTATTCATTTGTACTGTGTTTTTAGTAAGTAAAGTTGATTGAAAAAATTGCTATGTAGCAATAATAATTTTAGAAATATATTTAAGTTCAGATTTCTTAGTAATTTGGTAAATTGAATAAAAAAAAATCATAATCATAGTAAGTACTCAGTGTATTTATTTGTTAAATTGTTCAAGTTGACTTTTATATAACACAGGGAACAAACGAGCGTACGGCTCACTTGATGGCCAGTGACCACCGCTGCTCATTAGCATCCGCAACACCGGAGAAATTGCTGGTAGTTGCGGTGCTACCTGTCTTTTAAAAAAGGAAAGGACTTATATATATTTATGTCAGGTACTGTATTAGTTTCAGAATCATTCAAGATCCTTATTCATAAATAATCATGACGCAAAAACTAAACTAGTCAAAATACACGTAGGGGAATCCGTTTAATTTTGCAATTGACTAGCTCGGTTAATGTTTTTTATAGGATTGTAAAATTCAATTACACATAGGTCGCGGTGTTTGTTAACCATGGTAATCACATTCAACGAGCGGCTAGTATTTCGCCCATTACCATAAATAGTATGAGAAGCAATCAACTCTTAATTACACGTTACTGAGATGGCCCGTCCCACCAGTATTCCTATATGCTCGTAAACCCATCTCTCGGCAGCCTTTGAGCTTGTTCAGTCTCATCAAAGATCATATTTTATGGCGCTTTTACAGTTTATGTGTTACAATCATTACCTATTTAAAGCCTGTCTCAAAGAGAACACGCTCCATGTAGCTGTTTGCTGGACATGTATTTATTTTAGCATATTAAAGCAACATACAAAATGTCAAGACTTATTTACTTTTTATTCAACTTAAAATGGCAAACAAGCTAACGGCCCACCTCATAGGAAGTGGTAATGGTCGCCTATAGACATCAAAAGTACCATGGACATTATAGAGTATACTGCATCGCTCAAGGAACCCTTAATTCAACCATTCCTGAGGATTAAGGTGTTATTCCTCTGTGCCATGAAATTTCATTATCTTCAAACTGAAATATTAGAATCCTTGTGATATTAAAAACGGAGCAATAAATATCAGTCGACATATCCCAATACACCCAGTCTGGAACTAATTCAGAAAAGTTCATTTCTGAAATTGGCTCGGCCAAAAATCGATTCCAGAACCTCATTTACGCAAAGCAACGTACTCGCTACTGCATCATGGAGGTCGTATTGATTGTAATACATCCCATTAAGTAAATTTTAATGTAATTAGCTTATTTAAGGCATGATGAT